AAAAAGTGTCAGTTACAGCTCCGGTTGGTTGGTCTAAAGGTCGGAAACATGCCTCTAACAAGGCCGAATGTCTGCAGACAAACCAGGCGTGACTCAAAGGCCAGGAGCTGGGGCCCACAGGACTTCACTTTTACCTTAACACGGCCTTTTTTGGTTTGCTTTGTCCGTCACAAACTCCAGTTACAGCCTCTTTAGAGAGAAAAAAATAGGCAGAATTAAACAATACCTCTCCAAACTTCATCACTAAATGTAAAGACACAGCAGCTCATTTTCTGCTTGGAAGTTGGAGTGCCTAGAAAAAAATTAAAAAGCCAGAAGTACATTTAATTTGTTATCATTAAATCATTAATTTGTTTATTTATTTATTTATTTTTTTATTGATTGTCATCAACAATGTTACCTTACCCTGGTTCCAAACTATTCTTGGTTCATTAGACAACGGTGAGTGATTTTTTTGTAGCCATGCTCCATCCTTTACCTGCATAGTTTTTAATTTTTACGTACAAATTTCCTTTCTCCAAAATGAGTTATTCTCTAATTTGTTACTACACTTGTAGAATGAGGATGTGGAGTTAAGATAAGAGGATAGAAGAGACTAAACGAGAAAAGATAAGCATGTACAGAACACAGTACGATTAAAAAATACATCATAAATATCAAATAGACATTTGAAACAAAGTAAATGTACACATAAAATGTTGATGAACAAGTATTTTCGAAAGAGTAATGAACTAAATATATACAGTAATGCGCAAGTGGACAGTCTGTGTACAGATATCACAGTTTTTTTGGTGTTTTTTGGTGTTTTTTTCATCATTTCTGAGTATCTCCGGGAGATATCTTAAGGCAGGAGTTATTTCAGTCCATATATTTGAGCTTTAAATCTGATTTTCCAGCAGATCGGATCAACTGTAGGTTGCCAATCGAAGGTTTTGTAATTACCAGGAATGTTTTTATTCAAACAGACATGTCAAAGAGCAGACATTTTACTCATTATGGGGCGTTGGATCAATAAAATATGTAAGTTGTGTGTAAACACCAGAGGAAGTGAATGTAATTCTGAGATCTGAGCTTCCTTTGGTGCTTCTACACCGGGATGTCACACAGTTGACATCTGAATGCGAAACCTTTATCTCCTGACATTCAAAGTGCAGTTTTATGATGGAAATACTCACCCTTTGAAGATGGGGTCACCACTGTAATGACAGCGTTTCTCTCAGG